ACCTGAGCCGAAGGCAGCTGCTTAACGACTGAGCCACCCAGGTGCCCCAAGAGAACTTTCAAATGCTAAGGAAGACCCTCAGGATACTGGAGGCCTAGCTGTTGTCAAGTTAAGGTTGGTTTTCCCTCTTGCAAGGCATTCACATTAAGACAGCTCATAGCTTCCTGGAGGAATGTCACACAGATCTCACCCAGGAGTAGCGGGGGGGAGGGCTTTGTCCTCAGCTAGCTGTCTGCACCCTCATCATTTCCCCCCTTGAACAGTTTTGACCCTTCAGTCTTTAAGTTTTGAATGTGGATGGTCTCATATGTAACTTCTTCCTGCTGAATAGGGGTATAGAAATGTTCCTACCTGTGGGTCCATATCGGTCCGTTGGGGAACATATAGGGGAGTTACTAAAGGGGGAGGCAGCTGAATCCAACGTGGACAACATATATGAAGCTCCTTTAGTAGAAACATTGTCTGTGGCCTGGATGCTCTGGTAGTGAAGGAGTCTTGGCACTGGGCAGAGAAACACCAGAAATGACAACAAAATAAGGTTAATGTTATAATGAGAAAGAGAAATTTGACTAAAAGATCTTTGATAGTTGACCTTTGATAATTTTCCTCCAGTCCAGGAGTTTAAAGCAATCACTAAAGGAAAGAGAGATCATTTAAAGCATCAGTTTGAATATTCATGTCAGTTAGAAACCCAGAAATATTTTCTTTTTTTTTTAAAGATTTTATTTATTTATTTGAGAGAGAGAATGAGAGAGAGAGAGCATGAGACGGGGGAGGGTCAGAGAGAGAAGCAGACCCCCCGCCGAGCAGGGAGCCCGATGCGGGACTCGATCCAGGGACTCCAGGATCATGACCTGAGCCGAAGGCAGTCGCTTAACCAACTGAGCCACCCAGGCGCCCCCCCAGAAATGTGTTCGTGGTAATCTGGAATGTATACACAGCATTCTGTCTTTATGATAGCACAAGCTCTACTTTGTGCGACAGTTAAAACATCTAATGCCATTCTATTTTGTAAAACTGCTTCACGCATTTGCATTACTTTAGTATTTAATAGAGAAATGCTACTTTGGGTGTTACTTAGGGCTCCTGTTATTATCCCCAAAGAATAACAAGCAAGAAGATTGTCTATACGTGAGCTGCTGTGGCAATTTTTCTGGTTTACCTCACGTTGTCTAGCTTAGGCAAACAACATTTAAGGATAATCAAAACTAGGATTTAATATCTGCAAAGGTGGGTTATTGAAGCATAGTTTTTCTATAAAATAACCCTCATTTCCAGAGATAGCCAAATCAAGACTAATTTGTTTGCGGAACAAGTCCAGTTTTAACAAACTTGGCTTAATTATTTACATAAGCTCAGCAAGAATGTTTGATCATATCTTTTAGAATCTGCTTTGCTAGAATCTGCTTATATTGAACTTTTAGTAGCCTCTCCAGGCCAGAAGCCAAGCCAAGCACTTGCCATCAGACATGTCTGCAATACCTGTAGATTTGGGCAAATTCCTCTTCTCGAGGTCCCCAAAGTATCCTGAGGTTCCTGCACCTGCCAGGAAGTGACATTCTTTACTCACCTGGGGAGGCTCCTGGGAATTCTGTAAGCAGGGTATCAGGCCAGCATTTCCAAGGGGCTTTATGGCTCAGCCCATGTTTCATAAAGTCAACCTCAGTTCCTTAAAGATGTTTGGTCATATCTGAGTCTATGCATGTCTCTCTCAAATATGACATTCCAGTCAAAGCCTTGGTAAAATAACCAATGTTTCCAATGGTGTCCTGTTACAAGGAGAACAGATTCTTACTGAATTTATGCAAATGACTCTGATTGCCAAGGAAGAAAGAATACTTAACTGGGATCTTTTGAATTTCAGAGGGTTCAGGTATGCTTTAATTTGTTTTATTATTATTTCTTTATATCACTGATGTCCTAAGAGAAAGGTCCCCTAGTCTGGAAGAGCAAATATTAGAGAACCAGGAATGTTTCAACCAAGAGTTACAAAAAAACTATAATCATTTTTCCCAATTCATTTAGTCCGTGTTACTATCCTTGTTTAGTTTGAATACAGCTTTAGTTAGTTCTGGAAATTCTTACCCATTTCAGTTTTATGATCTTAAAGATACTGAGTACCTGTATTTGTCCTAAAAGCCTTTTTTATGAATCTCCTTAAAGATGAACCATTTTACAAGAGAGTAAGAACAATAGCTATAAATGACAAAAGACTCAAAAATGGACATGGTTGCAGATCTGATGAGACATTACAATATGGCTGGCAAGGAAATCTGATTATTTCTGTGACACATAACACTTTAATAATCAAAATATTGAGTAATGGTCTTTTACCAGAACATAATAAAACTTTAGGAACTGTATATCATCTCTAGAATAGTTATAGCATTTACCCAAATGTAACCTAAGGCTTATTATTTGTTCAACAATGTTTCCAGAGTAACTTAACATACCAGGTAAAAAGGCCTAATGAGTTAAAGAGACTCCATTTACAATTTAAATTTTGGGAAAATTGTTTAAACCTTAGAAAGTTATAGCACATACCTGGATAGGATTACAGATCATTACAAAACTCAATTATTTTTTTTTTTAATTTAGCCAATATGACAATAAGAGATTCCAAAGGCAAAATGTAGGGTTACCTAGTTGTTAGCAAAACTTAGCTCTTTAATATTGAGAAGTTTTAACCAAGTAATCGAAGACCTGATAACCACAAAACATAGAAACTGGTTTTCTGGGCAGACAAAACAGAAAAAAAAACCTTTGTTTACATTTTCTTATTAGAAGCAGACCAGTAAATCAAGAAAACTTTTTTTTTTTTTTTAAGATTTTATTTATTTATTTGACAGAGAGTGAGAGCAGGAACACAAGCAGGGGGAGTGGGAGAGGGAGAAGCAGGCTTCCCGCTGAGCAGGGAGCCTGATGCGGGGCTCGATCCCAGGACTCCGGGATCATGACCTGAGCCGAAGTCAGTCGCTTAACCAACTGAGCCACCCAGGTCCCCCCCTCCCTGTCAATTTTTACCTGGGGTACCTGTGGGAAAATCTAAAGCTGGAGGTTTAAGTCCAGCAGAGCCTTCCAGGGGCAGGGGAAAGATGATGGGATGGAATAAAAGAGAGGTCATCTCGACTGTCTGCAGGAACAGAGGGGCCATGAAAGTAAGACACATCCTACAGTTTTTGTGGAGGTTGGGATTTGGGGGACAGTGCCATGAAGGCTTGCAAATATGGGACCTCTGACCATTTGGAGTGCTGGGAATAGAGGTCAAGCTAGAAATATTTATTTGCCAGAGCAAGCGTAGAAGCAAGCTTCCCACTGATCAGGGAGCCCGATGCGGGGCTCGATCCCAGGACCCCAGGGTCATGACCTGAGCTGAAGGCAGATGCTTAACTGACTAAGCCACCCAAGTGACCCTACACAAGGATTCTTTAGATGGCAAATTTATGGTTGTTAGGAAGTGCTTTTTTCTTTTTTCTTTTTTTTTTTTAAGATTTTATTTATTTATTTGACAGAGAGATAGCGAGAGCAGGAACACAAGCAGGGGGAGTGGGAGAGGGAGAAGCAGGCTTCCTGCCAAGCAGGGAGCCCGATGTGGGGCTTGATCCCAGGACCCTGGGATCACGACCTGAGCCGAAGGCAGACGCTTAACGACTGAGCCACCCAGGCGCCCCAGGAAGTGCTTTTTTCTTAGTATAGTTTCTCAATGAGGCTTGTCCTAAGGTTATTCTCTCTAAATGACCAGTCTCGTTTTAGGACAGAATTACTCTTTCACCAGGGTTCCATGGAGGGGCCGTACCCTTTGATCTGGGAGTTTGTACTGAGGAAACATCACATGAAAAGATGAGATGTTTTTCCTGAGGTATTGAGGGACAATTTTTTTTCCACTTTTTAAAAATACATCCCAAGGGTGAGTCCAAAGGGATAGCGGGGGTTTGCTCATAGTGGGAAAGCACTTCTGCCGATTCCCCAAGGGGCATCCCACCAAGGGGAATGGGCTCCAACTCAAGGTTATGATTTCAGTCAGGGCATCCACTGACCTGAGGAAGGACCAGACCTTACACGGGGTGACTGACCCTACTGGGGTGTCCCACTAAAGAGAAGGTCATGAGAAATAGCAATAGGAATCCCTGCTGGGGTGTCTCCTGCAACAGGGAGGGCTGGGCACTGGGTGGCTTTAATCTGGGTCCGAAAAAGGAAGGGAAGACTCACCACTCAGACGCACGGGAGCATGGAGGGCTGTAGATCAACGTGGCAGCTGGATACATGGGAGCAAAGGAATGAAGTGGGGGGTCCAAAGAAGCAAGGAGTCTGAGAGTCAGCCAGCATCAGGAAAGGACCCCAGCCACATCTGTAACATACGCAGATTAGCCCTGGACCAGCTGCCCTTGCCAACTGGACCACACATTGGGAACAGAGTGAGAACGCAAGGAAAGGGGTCCCTTCACCCTCTCAGATGTGGGCCAGAGACCTTCAGTTATCTGAAGAATACTCAGGTTAGACCTGCTGATGGCCAAAAAGAGAAAGGAGCGGGAGGGAAGAGTCCCCTCCCCAAGGGCAAGAGGGGAAATCCCTCACACTTTCAGGCAGGTGTGGTCCTGTGGGTTCCCTCTGGGGCTTCAGATCCTCATTGAGGAGTAACATCACCCAAAGGTCGTCAGTTCCCCAAGGAGTACTGGAGTCGGATCACTGAAGGAAAGTCCTGAGAAATTCCCGGAGAATGTGGGCAGAGCCCCAGCCCCGCAAGTCAGATGGTCCCTGTAAAGACCACCAAATGTGGGGCGCCTGGGTGACTCAGTTGGTTAAGTGTCTGCCGGAGTCCTGGGATCGAGCCCCGCATGGGGCTCCCTGCTCAGCGGGGAGTCTGCTTCTCCCTCTGCCCCTGACCCTGCTTGTACACGCTTTCTCTCCCTCTCTTTCTCTCTCAAATAAATAAATGAAATCTTAAAAAAAAAAAAAAAAAAAGACCACCAAATGTGGGGCAACCTGATCAGGTGGAGCTGACGGAAGGAGATAGAAGTTTATTGAATACACCACAAGGATTGGCAGGCAGGACAGCAGAGGAGAGTCTGTCTGCCACGAGGTGGTGATGAGGGGCTATAGTAATGGGGGATTGTGAAGGGATATGCAATCCTATGGAATTTTCCCTGTTTTGGTAACTGTGCATTACTTTGGTAAGAAGTCCATTGGTTACTTAGGGCCTCTGGCCATTTCCAGGTAGGTCACTTAATGAGCCTGTTAGCATTCAGCTGTGTAGTCACTGTGGGCCCTTTGCCTTGTTGCTTATCTTTCCAATCCTCAGGCCTGTTGCCTGAAAGCAGCCCCTACGTTATGTCGTTCCCCACCCCCCACCCCCCGTTTGCTAAAGTAACCCTGGGCTCTGTTACCATCAATCCCTCAGGGGCTCTTCTTCCTGTTGCCCTTCTCCTTGAATTCTGGGCACTGGGGTATATATTTGAGGCCCTGATGACTTCCATGATTCTTCCAGAACTGGAACTTCTCTTATGCACCAGGTGTGCCAGGTCCCTGGTCCCTGTGTCCATGCTCACAGTCCACCTGATCCAGGGAAGGGGTTGTGTCTGCTTCTGCCAGGATAGAGGGGACTGCACCAGGCTCCTTGACCTTGTTGCCTTCCAAGGAGGGATCTGCTCAAGTCAAGTGTCCACAACATTCCGAAATTCTGGTTCAAGTTCTTGGAGCTGACAAGGCTATAAATCTTTGATCAAGTCAAAGATGTGTTGTCTGGTTTTTGTGTTGCCTGAAAAAGTATTTCATTTTCCATTCTTTACCGTGCTGGTCTGCATAGATCTGCTCTGTGTCAGCAAAAATAGCCTATATTTGGGTGTATGTAAGTCTGTATCAGCCGTTGTCGTCTCCCTCTGCTTCGGGTTCCCAGCCCCTCCCATCACTGAATGCGCGGCAGCGGATGTGCTCGCGTGTTGTCACTTCCCACACGGGTGTGACTCAGGTCCTAGGAATGGAGTGTGGTTCCCTGCGTGTCACCCCCCCCCAATCCTCCCACGCACATGGGTGAGGAGGGAGCGTTGCTGCAATAGGATACGTGGGATGTTTCAGGACGCGGTGGTCTTCACGGATGTGGCTGTGTACTTCACCCCGGAAGAGTGGGCTTTGCTGGATCGTGGTCAGAGGAGGCTCTACAGAGATGTGATGCTGGAGACCTGCAGGAACCTGGCCTCGCTGGGTAAGGACGGCTCCACCCCTTCACTAGAGTTTTAGGGAATGAACGTTTCTTACAAGAGTTTGATCTTACTGGGGCGGAGGAATGGGAATATATTGAAGAAGAGACAGCCATGGTCCAAGCCTTCATGGAAACTACCTAGGGTCACATACCTTTTCTGTGAAAACAAAGTTTCATGTGTTAAATTGACTCTTCATTAGTCTTGGTCCAAGTCTGAGACTCCCTAATTTTATAGACGTGAATGTGGCCTCCAGTGTGACTCTGAGGGTGTGACCAGCACCTGCTTTATCCCTCCTTACTCATGTCTGACTGTCTTCCATTCCTCCCTCAAGAGATTGGCCCCAAATCATTGGGAATTGGGGTGATGACCAGTCTGGCTTTTTCAAGCTTGTGTTGTGTGGGGTATTGTGAAGATCTGGGGAGTCCATCACTTGCTGAGTATCAAGGAGAGAAGATGGTGGTGGCTCTTGGTGTCTTTCAAGGAACTTCCAAAAGGGAAGAAGTTGTAGGCATCTAAAGGTTGATATCCTTGGTTGAGGACCAGTTGGAACTTGATGGCCTGTAGCCTGGAGGAGACAAAGAATAGCAACATACTGATTAGTTTTGGTCCAAAGAGTAACATTAGGAGAACTCCTAGAGTGAGGGGAATAAAGGGAGTAAGGGTAAAATTGTAAGCACTTGTGGACAGATCACCCAGGAATGCAGGTGTTCCCTTGTTATTAAATCTTTTATTTTTAAGGCAGAGAGGGAAGTGAAGACCCTGGATGTAGGGATTAGTAACCATGGGCCAGTGGGTGAAGAAGACAGTTGAGTTATAAAAAGGAAACGATGGCTATGGCAAGCCCTATTTCTAATAAGATGACACAGGAAAAAAAAAAGAGAAGACTTGTAGGTCATGGAATCTTTTTGGAGAGTGATGTTAGATCTTTGAAGAGATCACAGGATAGGCATCCGTGGTATTTGCCAGGGGATGATTCCAGGGTTTGACTCTGGAGCAATGGATCCAGTCAGGGACTCCTGGTACCTTGATGGCTGTAGGGGAAGATAAAAGAACCAGGAAAAGCCCTTTCCACACAGGTTTTAGTTGGCATTTAGAGAAGCCCCCTTTTCAGACCTTGATTAGACTTTGTTCATTAGGTTCATATAGAGAAGGTGCCTCTTGTTGGATAGTGGAAACTATTAGGCTGTATTTTTTAAAACCTGTTGAAATTTGGATAAAGAGATAATATGACTTTGTATCCCTAGAGTCTCTGGCTCTACCAGGAGGTCTGTAGTAAGAAGGATTGCTCATAGAGGACTTCAAAAGGACTCAAACCCAGGGCCTCCTTGGGAGCTACATGACTACAGAGAAGGGAAATTGGCAGGGCTTCTTTCCAGTTCAGTGATGTTTTTTGTGTGAGTTTTTAAATAATACCTTTTAGGTAGTGGTTGGCCCTTTCCACCTTCCCAGAGGACTGTGGCTTTCAAACACAGTGAAGGTGGTATTTGATACCCAGTACTTTGGAGACAGATTGAACTATGGTGGCCACAACGGAAGAGTCCATTGTCACTCTGAAGTGACTTTGAGATGCCAAATTAGGGGATAATTTCATGCAGAAGTTTGTTGACTACTCAACTGCCCTTTCAGTCCATGTCGGGTATGCGTCTATCCACCCTCTGAAGGTGTCAAGAAGCATGAGAGGAGGTATTTGTATCCTCTGCCTGGTGGCATCTGAGTAAAAATCCATCTGCCAGTCTTCTCCAGGGTAGGATCCATACCTCTGTATTGGTTGGATTAATCGAGGTTGATGGACACCCTGGGTTGGTATATGTGTGAGGCAAGAGGAGGTTATTTGTTGAACCACCTGGGAAAGTCCTTTACCTTGAAACATTCTGGAAATGACAGTTTGTAAGGCATCTTGTCCTAAATAAGTAGAGTTATGAAGGGCTTTAATTAGTTTCCATTGGCAATTTTGAGGAATGGCCAATACTTGAGTGGGGGAGCAAATGAGCAAATTGTCCACATATTGAAGGGTAGTTCCCCCCTCAAGTTGTTAGTTTTGTGAATCCTTAGAGATGGCTTGGCCAAACAGATGGAGGGGATGCTCTCCCTGAGTCCCTGTGGGAGTATTGTCCAGGTAAGTCGTTGGGTGGGCCACAAGGGGTGGCCCATTCAGATGCAAACAGAAATTGGGATTGTTGAGCCAATGAGATGGAAAAGAAGGCATCTTTAAGGTCCAGGACCATAAACCCAGAGACTGTTTGGAGGAATGGTACCCAGGATGACATGCGGATTTGGCATGGTTGGGTTAGGGATGCAACAGCCTCATTAATGGCTCACAGGTCATGGACTAGGTGATAGCTGTTTCCTTTTTTTAACTGCTAGGATGGGAATGTTGTAGGGTGAAGTTGTGGGGATAAGAAGCCCATGTTTTAAGACTTGGCTCAGGTTGTGATCTCAGAGTTGTGAGATTGAGCCCCACATTTGGCTCTGCACTGGGCATGGAGTCTGCTTAAGATTCTCTCTAACCCTCCCCATCCCTCTCTCTTTCTCTCTCTCTCTCTCTCCCTCTCCCCCTTCCCTCTCCCTTCCTCCCTCCCTAAAAAATAATAATAAAATAAATCCTTAAGACTTTACCAAATACTATTAGAACTAACAAATGAATTTAGAAAAGTTGCAGAACACAAAATGAATATACCAAAATCTGTTGCTTTTCTTTCTCTTTCTTTCTTTCTTTCTTTCTTTCTTTCTTTCTTTCTTTCTTTTCTTTCTTTTTCTTTCTTTCTTTCTTTTTCTTTCTTTCTTTCTCTTTCTTTCTTCCTTTTTTCTTTTTTTTTTTTTAAGATTTTATTTATTTATTTGACAGAGAGAGATAGCGAGAGCAGCAGGAACACAAGCAAGGGGGAGTGGGAGAGGGAGAGGCAGGCTTCCCACCGAGCAGGGAGCCTGATGCAGGACTTGATCCCAGGACCCTGGGATCATGACCTGAGCCGAAGGCAGTTGCTTAATGACTGAGCCACTAGGCTCCCTCTCTCTTTCTTTCTTTCTCTCTCTCTCTCTTTCTCTTCCTTCCTTCCTTCCGTCCTTCCTTCCTTCGTAGGTTCCGTAGCCAGCATGAACCCAACATGGGGGCTTGAACTCATGACACTGAGCTGAGATGAGGAGTCAGATGCTTAACCGACTGAGCTACCCAGGCAACCCTCTGTTGCATTTTTTTTAAAATATTTTATTTATTTATTTGTCAGAGAGCACAAGCAGAGGGAGAAGAAGGCTCCCCGCTGAGCAAGGAGCCCAATGTGAGACTCGGTCCCAGGACCTTGGGATCATGACCTGACCCAAAGGCAGACACTTAACTGACTGAGCCACCTAGGCATCCCCCTCTGTTGCATTTCTGTGTCAGAAAGAGAAATTAGGAAAACAGTCCCATGTTCAATTCTTTCAAAAACAATAAAATGCTGTGAATAAATGTAACCAAAGAAGTTGAAAGACCTGTGCTCTGAAAGCTATAAGACATTTAATGAAGAAAATTGAAGATGGACATAGTAAATGGAAAGATAAACCTTTGTCATGCCTTATAAGTATTAATATTGTTTAAAAATGCTCAGACTTTGAAAAGCACTCTACATATTCAATGCAATCCATATTCTATACAATAGAAATAGTGTTTTTCAAAGAACTTTAGCAAAAAAACAAAACCTCTAAAATTTACATGGAAACAGAAAACATTGCACCTAAACAAAGCAGTGTTGAGGAAACATATTCAAGTTGAAGATACAACAACCCCAGATTTCAAACTGTACTACAAAACTGAAAAATCAAAACAGTATGACATTGGCACAAAAACAGACACATAAACCAAGGAAACAGAATAGAGTCCAGGATTAAACCCATGTTTATATGGTCAAATTATCTACAAAAAAAAAAGGAGTTGAGTATATACAATGGGGGAAAGACTGTCTCTTCAGGAACTGGTGTTAGGAAAATGAGACAGCTACTTGCAAAAGCATGAAACTACCTTATTACACCTTACACAAAAGTAAACTCTATGTGGAGTCCATACCCAAGTGTAAGACTTGACACCCTATACTTATTTTTTTTTTTAAGATTTTATTTATTTATTTATTTGACAGAGTGGGAGAGGGAGAAGGCTTCCCGCCAAGCAGGGAGCCCGATGCGGGGCTCGATTCCAGCATCCAGGGCTCATGACCTGAGCCGAAGGCAGAGGCTTAATGACTGAGCCACCCAGCCGCCCCTGAAACTGTATACTTCTTCAGACAGAACAGAGGCATTAAACTCATGGACATCAGCCTTAGCTATATTTTTGTGGAATTATCTCTTCAGGCCAGGGAAACAAAAGGAAAAATATAAAATGGGGTAGAGGAACATAATAGACATTTTCCCAAAGAAGATATAGAGATGGACACTAGGCACATGAAAAGCTGCTCAGTAACAATAATCATCAGGAAGTGCAAATCAAAACCACAATGAGATATCACCTCAAAGCAGCCAGATTGGCTGGTGTCAAAAAGATAAGAAATAACAAGTGTTGGTGAGAATGTGGAGAAAAGGCAACTCATCTTTGCTGGTGGGAAGGTACTTTGGTGCAGCCACCGTGTGGGAAAGAGTATGGAGTTTGCACAAAACAGTAAGCACAGAAGGACAGTATGGTCCTTAACTGCACTTCTGGGTGATTCACCTTAGAAAAAAACTAACACAAAAAGATACGTGCACGACCACGTTCACTGTGGCATTAGTTACAGTACTCAACATATGGAAGCAACCCATGTGTCCATTGACAGATGAATGGATAATAAAGATGTGGTATTCACATACAAGGGACTGTTACTCAGCCATATAAAAAGGGTAAAGTCTTGCCATTTGTGACAACATGGATGGACCTAGAGGGTATTCTTCCGAGTAAATAAGACAGAAAGACAAACACCATATTTTATTTATATGTATAGTCTAAGTAGCAAAGTGAACAAGCAATAAAAGGAAAATGGAAACGGACTTAAAAGTATAGAGAACAGGGGCACCTGGGTGGCTCAGTTGGTTAAGCGACTGCCTTCGGCTCAGGTCATGATCCTGGAGTCCCGGGATCGAGTCCCGCATCGGGCTCCCTGCTCGGCGGGGAGCCTGCTTCTCCCTCTGACCCTTCCCCCTCTCATGTGCTCTCTGTCTCTCTCATTCTCTCTGTCTCAAATAAATAAATAAAATCTTTAAAAAAAAAAAAGTATAGAGAACAAATTGGTGTTTACGAGATTGGAAGGGGATGGAGGGATAGGTGAAATAGATGAAGGGGATTAGTCAGTACAGAGTGACACTTTTTAAATAAGTTGTAGGGGTGGTGCCTAGGTGGATCAGTCGGTTAAACATCTGCCTCTTGATTTCAGCTCAGGTCATGATCTCAGGGTCATAAGATTGAGCCCCTCATCAGGCTGTGCACTCAGTGGAGATTCTGCTTGAAGATTCTCTCCCTCTGCCCTTCCCCCTCCCGAACTCTCTAGCTGTCTCTCAACATAATAAATAAATAAATCTTAAGTAAGTCACGGGAATGAAAAGTACAGCAGAGGGAATATGGTCAGTAATATTGTAGTAGTTTTTTATAGTGACATGTTAATTACACTTAGTGTGGTGAGCATTTTGTAATGTATATAATTGTTGAATCACTGTGTTTTACACCTGACGCTAATTGATGGCCAATATACTTCCACAAAAGAAAAGAAAGAAAGAGAGAGAGAGAAAGATAGAAAGAAAGAAAGAGAAAGGGAGAGAGAAAAGAAAGAAAAAAGCTCACACTCACCATCATCAATGAAATTGAACCCTAAAGTAAGAGCCCATCTTCCAGATTTCTTGTCACCCTCCAAATCCTTCCTCACGCTCGGCTGTTCTCCAGGGGCTGGGCAGCAGCCACACACACCATCCAGCCTCCCAGTGGCAGTTGGGGCAGTCCAGGCAGTCTTCACCAAGGGCCTCTGTGCCTTCAGAACATCCCAGCAACCCTCAGTTGGACCAGGTTCTGGAGAAGGGAACAGCATTTGGACATGTCCATTAGAAACATGACTCAGTTATGTTCAAGAAGGGTGATTTTGTCACTCACCTGGCTTCCAAGTTGGACCGTTCATTCATCCTCACCCACATTGCAAGCCTTTCTGTATTCCTCTTAACAGAGGTAGAGTGCGGGTGTATCTTGCCCAGGTCCTTTCTACTTTCCTTTTCTGATAATACTTATCTCCACATTAGTCTCCATCAATTTTGAAGTATTTCTGAGTAAACGGGCTGCCCTTCATACACTTTTCCTCTTACTGCCAAAGTCCCAAATCACTAGGGTCCTCAGAATTTTTCTTCGGTCACTTGTCCATTCTTCCTGATGAGCTTCATTTACATTTTGTGATGAGTATATGAATAGAAATCGACATATGGTCTATTTTCTTACCTTTAAACATCAGATCATTCCCAAGAAATTACATTATGCTACCAATTTTTGCAGTTTGTCCCAGTCAGGATAAAAGGAGTGCATCGAGGACTCAGCAGAATATTTTGCAGAATGAGTTACCCAGTGAAGAGAAAATAGTCGTATTTACAAGAAATGATTCGTGTTCTGTTTTTGGAGAAAACCGGAAATTTCATAGCAGTGGAGATCAGACCCAAACCCAGGAGGGGCATTTGAGGTGAGTGACACCCCTGCAGGAGAAGGGGATCAGGGCAGATTGTGAGACTAATTTGAAATTAGAGAATAGCTGAAAACATACTTCAACAATTGTATGGTCGGAATTTTCATACAACAAAGCTTTTATGAATGCATTCTAGATCCTGATCATCTGAAAAACAGTTCAGTTGGAAACAATGGTGAGAAAAACTATTATCTGAGAAACCTAGAGTGTTATGACTGTTTGAGTCCTCAGCCAGTGCATTAAGCTTGTTCCTCTTTGTTACCATGGAGACAGTGCCACAAACATGCCCATTCATTGAAAATGGCCATTATGTAAATAAGCATTAATAAACATCAATAGGTCATTAATAAAGAGTTTGGTTATAATCATTATTCCCTAACAGTGTGCCTTCCTATTTTGAACAGACATCATTTGGTGGAGCGTGTCTATGAAAGCAATGAAGGTAATCAATGTGGAGAAACCGTGAGGCAGATTACAAGTTTTGCTGTGCATGAGGATTGCCCTCCTGGAGAAAAATCCCATGAATGCACTAAGTGTAGAGAAGCCTTCACAGATGGTTCTTTCCCTGAGAACCCAGGAAGATCTCATCCTGGACACAAACCTAGTCCCTGTGAGGAATGTGGGCCAGCCTGTAGCTGTGTCTTGAGCTTTAGCCCTCATGTTGGCGCAGACCTTGTAGGGAAACCCTATGAATGTCAGGACACTGGGAGAGGATTGAAGAGAGAATTGAAGAGTCTCAGTAGTAAAAAGTCTTTAGAGTGCAAGAAGTGTGGAAAAGCTTTCACTCACACCTCATCCTTTCAGGGTCATGTGCGAGGTCACTGTGGACAGAGAGTCCATGCGTGTGATGTGTGTGGGAAAGCTTTTATGTATCACTCCTGTCTTACACGTCATGTGAGAACTCACACTGGAATGAAACCCAGTGATTGTACAGACTATGGGAAAGCCTACATTTGCCTCTCATACTCTCAAGATTACTCAAGTAATCAAACTGGGAAACGAATTTTTAGATGTGGGCAGTGTGGGAAAGCCTTCACTCGTCAGGCCTACCTTCTAGTGCATGTGAGGACACACACTGGGGAGAGACCCTATGAATGCCAGCAATGTGAGAAGACCTTCACAGATCGTGGAAATCTGCGAGAACATGTGAGAACACACACTGGGGAGAGACCCTATGAATGTCAGGAGTGTGGGAAGACCTTCAAGTATAACTCAGGCCTGCGAGCACACATGAGGGCACACACTGGGGAGAGACCCTATAAATGTCAGCACTGTGGGAAAGCCTTCACTGGTCACTATTCCCTTCTAGTACATGTGAGAACACACACAGGGGACAGGCCCTATGAATGTGTGGAGTGTGGGAAAACTTTCCAGAAGTGTGAACATTTTAAACGTCACATGACCACGCACAGCACAGTGAAACCCTATGAATGTAAGGAGTGTGGCAGAGCCTTCCGGGATCGCACAGACCTGCGAATACATATGAGGACACACACTGGGGAAAGACCCTATGAGTGTCAGCAATGTGGGAAGACCTTCAGACATCTTGGAAATCTACGAGGACATGTGAGAACGCACACTGGGGAGAGACCATATGAATGTCAGCAATGTGGGAAGACCTTCAGGTATAACTCAGACCTGCGAGAACACGTGAGGACACACACTGGGGAGAGACCCTATAAATGTCAGCAGTGTGGGAAAGCCTTCATTCGTCGCTACACCCTTCTAGTACATGTGAGAACACACACAGAGGGTGGACGCGTGGAATGTAAAGAGTGTGGGAAAGCATACAAGTTTCCCTCATCCCTTCGAGTGCATATGAAGAAACACACTGGGGAGAGACATTCACTAGTCACCGCTCCCTTCAAGAACACGTGAGGATGCGCAGTGGACAGTATCCCTTTGACTCTAAGGACTCTGGTAAGATCTTCCAGTGTCCCGTAGACCTGCAAGTACGTGTGATGACACTCACTAGAGCAGAACCCTAAGAATATCTGCACTGTGAGAAAGCCTTCCATTGCCCCTCTTCTCTTCGAGGACACATGTGAAAAGCACAGTGATGTGAAACCCTATGAACTTAAGAACCATGGAAAAGCCTTCAGGTACCTCATCAATCTGGGAGCACAGACACGATGCGGGAAAGCATTTATTCTCCCTTAAAATCGTTTTTAAAATGCCACCCAGTACACTGGAGATGAACCTGAATGGACATAATTTTGGGAAGACTTCCAGTATAGAACTTCATATATTGTTCATGAAAATTCTGACGGGACAGAAACCGTTTCATTGTTATAAACATGGTTTTGTTTTTGCAAGTGCCTCTTCCTTGATAGAGATGCGAAGTGTCTTAATTCCTAGTTCATGTCGCTGATGTGAACGCTAATGATGGTCAGTGTCCTTTGTCCTCTGCATCTTTACAACATATACTTTGTTATCTCAGACTTGGAGTAATCACATGGTTATGTGAAACATGTCTCTTTTCCATTACAATGTCTCTTAGAACCAGGGGTGATAAGAATGTGTCTGTTTGGGGTGGTGAGGATAATATAACTTTATATAATTTTAGAAAAAGATTTCTTGAATTATACATTCCAAATGTTCCCAGTGTATGATCATGACACAAGACTTGTACTGTTGAAAGTTCTTTTATGTTGTCTGTTGCAGATACTGGAGTTTCCTGATTCTATATCACCTCTTTTCAGTCTTTATTATTGAAAGATATATTTTCAGGGCACCTGGGTGGTGCAGTTGGTTAAGCATCCAACTCTTTGGTTTCAGCTCAGGTTGTGATCTCAGGGTTCTGAGATCAAGCCCTGCATCAGCTCTGTGCTCAGCTCGGAGTCTGCTTGAGATTCTCTCTTCCTCCCCTTCTGCCTCTCCCCCCTCTAAAACAAATAAATCTTAAATAAAAAAAGAAAGATATATTTTCACTTCAGTTCTCTCTTTTTATTGAACAGTTGTTAAAATTCTCTTACTGGTTTATCTTGTCTTATCTGGGACTAACTTTTGATGTCTGTGGTCTTTCTTCCAAATTGTGGCTTGGAAGAACATCCCTTTGCACTATATGTTTCAGGTTTGCCTGTTTATTTCCATGATCAGTGATTGTGCTAGAAATACCAGGGAGGTGCTTTCCTCTAGCCCCCAGGAGATCATGTCTGGAGTGCCCAATACCCTTAACATTAGCCAGAACACCTGGCTAAAAGTTGGCATCTGGTTAATTTTGGACGTAGGAGCCTCTTCAGTTTTATCCACATTGGAGGTAAAAACCCATCATCATTTCCACAATATAACAGTCCTGAGGTACCCGAAAGGCATACCAACTATTGGACTAAATGTTTGTAGTTTTACCCTTGGATAAGGTATATGGCCAAGTAAGAGTGTGTAACTCATCCTATTGGGTTGGCTGTCAAGGGGAAATGTACTGCTGCCTTAGGACCTTCAAAAGAATTTGCAGGGCGATTGGATGACTCAGTCGGTAGAGCGTGCAACTCTTGGTCTTGAGCCCCACACTGGGTATAGAGATAACTTAAAAAAATATATTATAAAATAAAATCATAAAGAATTTGGAATAGCATGCCCAAGTTGTTATTTACTATTTTCATCCTTTTTAAAAGACACATCAGTAAACTATGAAAACTCTTTATTGTTTAGAGGAGTGACATGTAAAATGCCATAGGAAGTCAAAACATGATGTGTCCACATTAAGCAGTCATGAGGGGTTTTGCCTGCATCCAAATGTCTGGTTCTAAGATCAGCTACCCTAAGTATTGATCTTGAGTTTGAGCAAACTGCAAAATTTGATACTTTCTGTCCCTTTAAGCCAAAAGTTTAACAGATAGATGGTGTCCTCCATTGAAGGGAAGCAGAGAATGAAATTATCTCCATATTGTAACAAAGTAGAAATGCAAAAAACTCTGTCACCCAGAGCAACCTTAGCGGTTTGTGAAAAGGAAGAAAATTCTCTGTGGGTCCCTGGGGCATGACTGTCCAGGGGTATTTCTGTGCTTCCAAGTGAAAGGAAAAACTGGCTACACTTACCAACTGGAATACTAAAAATGTACTGCATAGATGAATTACAGTGGAAAATTTGCTTTCAGTGGCGATGGATGTCAGCCCATTGGGTTAGGAACAACAGAGCGTGGAGGGATGAAAATGTTATTTATTGCTGAGAGGTCCTAGACAGATGTCCATTGTCAGCCATTGGGTTTTCTCAGGAGGGAAATGGTGTTACAGGGCATAGCGGAGGGGATCGTGAGACACTGAGGCTTTTAAACTTCTATCATGGTCTTGATGCCCTGAAGGGAATCTTTATTTATAGAGTATTGTCTTGTTCTGCCAAGAGATTTTGAAAGATATAATTTTATCTTGATCGGAGGTACACTGTGGATTCTGCCAGTATCAGCTGAACATGTTGCCCATAAAGAACAAGGTAGCTGATCCAATAGGAACCAACGACCAGTGTTCCCAGGCTCTGCTGTGGTGCCATCAGAGACCGAGGGTAGAAAAGAGGCCATGGGGTCGTGTCCTTCCCCTGGTGGATTATTTTGATCACTGCTGCCAAATTCTGGAATTATTTCCCCGTTTGAGGGAATCAAATTCTGGCATGATACTTTTCTAAGAGATGTCAGGTGCACACATGAATAGAGGAGAAGTAACTAAGGAGAAGGTATCTCTCCAAGGGCCTAGACGAAAAGAATAGGCTGAGAGACAGGAACCTGTGGAGATTTTTAAGAGGCCCCCACTGTTAGAGCTGTTTTAGTCCTTGTGGGCAGGGGCTGCTTTCCATCAGGGAGTTGGCCACCAGGAGTGTAGTTCTGCTGTTAACAAGGACAGAGACTCATTCCCAATGCGGAGGTGGTTACATCAGCTGCTTACGAGGGAGGACTGGGAAGAGCCCCTGGAGGTCCCTGGAGTCCCATCATTGGGAATGAGGAGGACATTGGAACAGCCAGCTGGAGGGATGCAGGTGCCTGGAGTGCTTGTTTGTAACCAAGTTTTTTTCACTGTCCTGGCTCTTTGCAATAATAGCAGAAAGTACAGGTTTTTAAAATCTCGTGTAGTGGGCTTTCATATGCCGTAAGTGAAAATTGGGAATTTATTGGTCTTTCATGTTAGTGACTCATCTAGGATGTGAAGAGCTTGTCTGTCAAAGTACCTAAATCTGGAGTGGACATAGATTCCCATACACCCTGGTTCCTTTTACCTAAAAGAGAAAGAGCTCAGTTCTGCCCATAAATAGAGTTAAGTGCATTCAGTACCTAAAGTTCATCGAGAATTTTTTTTTTTAGGATTTTATTTATTTACTTGAGAGAGAGAGAGCACAAGTCTGGGGGGACAGGCAGAGGGAGAGGGAGATGCAGACTCCCCACTGAGCAGGGTGACTGATAAGGGACTCAATCCCAGGACCCTGGGTTCATGACCTGAGCCAAACACAGACACTTAGCTGACTAAGCCACCCATGCACCCCCAGAATTTTCTTTAAGGACAATTTGGAGTCCATTATGATCATCATGAAAGGGTCCATCAGGTTTTTGCGTGCAAGTCTGGATTTTGTTCCACTCGACAGGCTTAAGGAAAGATCCTACAATTGCTCAGTAGTATTTCCAGTGAGTGATATAGCATCCCTGCAGAAACATGGGTTTCTGTTTCCCCGATACTTTCTTTAATGTTCCTGTGGGGCCAGCTTCATCCAGTGTGTGTCTGGCCCTCACCAAGAAGCACATGAGCTAACTGGTATAAATCTGAGAAACCAGGTTGGTAAGTTTGAATAACAAATTCTTCAGCACACCTACGGGGATACTTCATCACTTTGGGGAAAGTCTCGCTTGCAGTTCAGCCTTAGTCCAGGCAAGTTTATTAAACCCCAACCTTATTGGGGTTTATTAAGATCCCCATTGGGGTCCATTTTGATAGGTTCAGGAGAGGAAGGACTGGGGCGGGAAACAGAAAAAGGGAACTTTAGTGGGAGGATTCGAAAGACGGTGGGGGGTACACAGGAGGTGGGGAGAAAGCAGAGGGAGGAGAGGGCACTGGAGGCCTGGTCTGCACATCATGTGGCTGCCACCTGTCTGGAGACAAGATGGGGGAGGGGAAAGTGGCTCAGAAGCCATTTTGACACCTTTCAATGGTTTGTTTACTTCTGTTAATTGATTTTTGCAGAGAGCAACTTAAGATCCTGATAATGTTTGGAAACCAAAATTCCCATTAAAATAGGCATCCCATTTGCTTTTGACAATTTTAGAGCCATGGCTATCCAATTTGGGTTCTGTAAGAGTCAGTTTGGGGAGATCAGAAGTCTCCAGTAATGGCCATTGATGTTCTAAGTTACTTCTGATAAAGTTAGTCCATTTAATTAGAAATGTGCATGAGGAGAGACTGTACTTTTTAAACATAAAACCAGAGGGGTGCCCTCAAAGCATTGTTATGACTGGGATCCCATTTCTTGGGTTCTTTAGAACAAAAAGAAATTCCTAAAAACCACTGCTTCAATAGGAACAGGCTGTTCCCAAAAGGGCTTGGTCCAAAGGCCAGCACAGTTCCAGGCAGGAACAGTCTGATTCCACACTTTAGTTGGACCAAAGGCCAACACTTTTCCCACACGCAGTTTATGACACCAAGTAAGTAAACCTTAACTGTTGGTTATTTCACCAGCAAAAATGGGTTTATACATAATAATAAGAATTGCAAATAAGGACATGCAAGAAATGGCAAATCCGGGGCAAATCCAGAGAACAAAAGAGAGGCCACTCTTTTGCAGGAAAGGGGAGAGTTGGGAGGGGTTACTGTCAAGACGAAGTCAACTTGGGGAAACTGGTCTTTTGAAGATGGTGGCTTCTCATTGTTAGAGCTGTGACCGTCTCTCATTGGCTGAGCTGTGACTGTCTCTCATTGGCTGAGCTCTGACCATCTCTCATTGGCTGAGCTCTGTCTCTCCTTGGTTGAGCTGTGACTGTCTCTCATTGGCTGAGCTCTGACCATCTCTCATTGGCTGAGCTCTGTCTCTCCTTGGTTGAGCTGTGACTGTCTCTCATTGGCTGAGCTCTGACCATCTCTCATTGGCTGAGCTCTGTCTCTCCTTGGTTGACCTGTGACTGTCTCTCATTGGCTGAGCTCTGACCATCTCTCATTGGCTGAGCTCTGTCTCTCCTTGGTTGAGCTGTGACTGTCTCTCATTGGCTGAGCTCTGTCTCTCCTTGGTTGAGCTGTGACTGTCTCTCATTGGCTGAGCTCTGACCATCTCTCATTGGCTGAGCTGTCTCTCATTGGCTGGCCTGTTGCTGGGCGGAGTAAAGCTTTCTCACTGTGGCAGGGGAAGTGAAGCTGTGTCCACTTGAAGCTCTGTTCCTCTTGTGTGTACAGCTGACCAGGGGTTAGATAGGAGAGCACCCACTGCTGGTCTCCTGCCTTCATCTTAGCAAGGGTTCCCTTTAACAACCACCTTTATTCGTAAAAACTAGTCCATCCTAATGGAGAAACCCTTAATATTGCTTATGTAATGGCCTCAGACAAAGAACACCAGGAGTCATGGTCTTGCCGCTCAAAGAGTGAGTGAGGGGAGCCTGACACACGCATCTTCCCTACTTGTCGGTCAGTGACTAGAACAAACCGCATTCCTGGTGAGCTGAGTCTTAGCAGTGATGGGAATGACATGACTGGGTGCTCCAGACATAAAGTAAACCTTGAGAAAAATAATTTCAGGAAATGTTGCTTCTCATTGTTTGTTGTCCAGATAGCTCTGAGATGTTTACGTGAAAATCGATACCAGAACAAAAACATCCCCATATCTCACTTCCTCTTGCTACTAATTGTGCTAAATAACCACAGGACGTTTCTTCCCGTGATGGATGGGTAAGGGGTTGGTCATGCTTCACCCAGTGGTGTCTCCTTGTATTAATTCCAGTGGAGGAAAGATGGGCCGTGCCTTTCTCTTTCCTTCCGACCACTCACATTTCTGTTGATCTGCCCCCAGTTGACACAGGTCAGTTTCTATCTCCATCAGACGGCCCCCAGGGATGCTCCTCCTGTTCAGCACAATTCAGCACAATCCCCAGCAAGAAGGAATGAGGAGGAAGACATGTTTCCATGTCCTTGCCTGGTGCAAGTATGGTTGTATTTTGGGTGGAGCTGGTTGGGCTCCATGTCTGAGAGGGTTTGTAAGGTGAGCAGGCCCACTGGGACTTGGGGAAGGAATGTGGTAGTGTGAATGCACAATAAGGATACCTGTACAGTCTTTGCAGAGAGGAGTGCTTCTGTCTAATTATTCCAACCACTGTGGAATGGGATTTGCTCTCTACTGTCCTCAGTTCACCAATACGACCAGTGATCGTGTGGATCCCACACACTAGTAAGGGTTAATATAGGTGCACTGAACTGAAACAGCATGGAAGGTGTGCATCACAAGCACATTTCAATGTCACCACCAGTGGGAAACAGTCCATATGTGACATTTTCCATGGAACTCTCTTTCTCATAGCAGAACCATGAAATCCAATTTCAAATATTTTACAAATTGTTAACCCTTCCATGTACCCAGAGACCATTTTCCCTGTGATTTTATGGTTCTTTTGTTTCCAGTTCTCTTCAGAACCTGAGAGCGAAGTTTTGCAGGGGTGCCCACTTGATGCT